GATTCCGACTCGGATGTCAGCCAAGACATTGTGCGAGAGGATGAAGACCAGAGTGCGTATTCTTCCGCCATCGATGGGGATGCACTTCAAATCCCCAAGATCGATTTAACGCTACATAATCAAGCTAGCTGCCGGGCAGACCTCGTGGACGTGCAAGAGCCGACATTTGCAGCCAGAGCCGTCCGGAGCCACAAGTTGTTGGAGTTGAAGGACCGCTTGGAAGAGCTGGATTGGATTGAGGGGCAAGCCAGTTCTCCGTGGCCATCAAGAAGAAGGCGGCTGCGAACGACGAGGATGATGTTTCCAGAGTGGTAGTAGAGGAGGGCAAGTTGCAAGTGGACTTGGTGCTCATGGACGGGCGCCATCGCCCCAAAGCTCTCAAGGATCTCATGCATAAAGATGACAAGTGGATGCAGCTCTTGCGAAGCGCTCCCGTTCGTCTATGGACGCGTAAGGATGAAAAGCATCTCACTGCATTGGAGATGTTGCAAATCGCTCGACACCTCAACGAAGTTGCCTCCAACGTGATTGTTCCGGACTTTCTAGACCACATTCACGGGGCCATCAGTACCTGTCAAATTCTACGCGAAGAGAAAAATGTCTCTCTCAATGACATGATGGCCACGAAGCTGGCGGCTTCGTTTTTGGAGGCGAATGTCGACGACAAGGTTTGGAAGACATCGTCGAAGAAGAAGAACAAGTCAAGGATGAGGCACATGATGAGGTATGCATCCATCGCCCTCCGCCTGGCAAGAAGCAAATCTTGCTACGAAAAGGTCGAGGCGGTCTATGAGGAGCTGCGCAAAGGCTCTTCAGATTCAGTAGCCCCCCTTGGAGTTACGCATCTGTCGAGTAACATTCTCAACTCTATGGATGACGAAGCATATTGCTTCGCATTGGATGTTCTTCAAAAACGATTAAAAGAGAAGAGGCAGGGCAACTTCGAGTCCTTTCGGAGTGACTTTTACAAGGCTATTATGAAGATCTATACAGAGATCGTTCGCGTGGCCTCCTTCAAGTCAATGGAGGTCACCGACGTGCTTGGGAAGGAGATCATGTTTACGGCGTCGGAAGGTAGGAGTATTCGCCATTTGGCAATCGCACTGTTCCGGGATTTCGGTACTGTCAAGTCTCGAAAGCCATCTGCACAAGCGCTTCTCCTGTCGAGGATGAGGAGACACTTGAAGAAGGCTTTTGTGATCATAGAATCTCTTCCGCCTCTTCCTGCAACTCCCCCTTCTACTACGCAAGCATCGAGCCACTCTGTGGTCCGCGTTTCTTCGGCGGGAGAAGAAACTTCGGCTATTAGGGCTGTCCGCGGTCGCGTGGCCGAAAGCAGTGCCAAGTCCATTCCCGCTGAGGCAAGGGAGGCATTGGAAGCTTCGAATAGAAATCAAGCTGCAGAAGGACGACGAGAAGGAGAAGGAGTAAGCGGAGAGGGAGAAGAAGAAGAAAGAGAAGAAGAAGAAGAAGGAGAAGGAGAAGGAGAAGGAGAAATAGAAGGAGGGGGGGATGGCACACAAGACAAGCACTCGGCGACGGACGTGGTTGCTACTCCTAAGTTACCTTCCACACGGAAGAGCAAAAGAAAGCGGCATGTGGCTTCTCGGAATACGAACGAGAATGAAAGCAGTAAGAAGCAAAAGACGAAGAAGGTTTCCACTCGTAGAAGCACGACGAAGGCTGCTGGCTCTAGTTCGCGGGGCCGGAAAGAGCGCACGTTGAACCCCAAGCAAGTGGAAATTGTCAAGAAGGAGGTCAAGTATGTCTTGGATGGGCTCGCGTGGGAAGTGCAAAAAACAGTTCTTCAGTCAATGGGACTCGAAGTATCCCGACGATCACCGAGCGTTTCCATGGAACTTCGTGATGGTTGTGGTTCAGAGGACGCTGAACCAGAAAGCACGGAGAGATACAACGACAGCTTACCCCCTAACCTTCCTGACGGGTACAGTGATCCTGAACCGTACAAAGGTCCTGTTTGGCCGCTGTGGACACGCTTCTCTCGATGTTTGCCGAGCCGTTGGCAGAGAACCAACCCAATTGAGCATGTGAAGCCATTCCTAGAGGCGATTCATGTTGCGCATGAGCATCGAAGCAATATATGTCTCACTGTTGATAACTTGCGTCGCAACCATGAAATCGTGTTCTACCGAGCTGCCTACAACTACTATTCGCGACATCCTGAAGACATGGAACCGGACTGCTACAGCGAGCTGTCTGGGTCGGAAAGGTTGTGGGCTTCATCGACTTGCAACGACACTGTCTCAATTGCCTACCTTGCAGAGTGCAACGAAAGACTAAGGAGACTTGGATATTGCATCCTTGAAGGGTTTCTCGATGATGCTCGCATGCCTGAGACCTTGAGCGACATCAACCTTCCGCGTTTGGAGAACGGTCTCTTCTATAAACGCCTCCGTGAAGATGCAATGCAGTCTCTCCCGGGTGTTAATCAGCAGTCTACCTCCGAGCAGACGCCGTTGGAGTGGACGCACATTCTCAACCGTGGACATGAAGCTGACAGCGAAGCAGGCAAGAAGGGCATCGGGCGATATCTCGCCACTAACTACGGAATGACAACAGCGGTTGAAGGGAATCCTTTGCGCCGTTTGGCCTTCAAATCGCGTGTGTTTTTGGACGTGCGTATCGGGCAGGCGGTGGCAGCGCTACGAGCTTGGAACAACTCCAGTTCTGACCGCACCAACATGTACATTCCGAACAGTGGGGGCCGTTGGCTGTACACTTCGAAGAAGTGCGACAAGCAGAAGGTTCACACGGACTTTCCTACGCTGATGGCTTCCCAAGTTCAGGAGAATTCGAAGTGTCCTGGGTTTTTCACGATCTGCTCAGGGGAAAGGGAAGTCAGGCTATGGGTATGCGAAGGCTCTCACATTCGCATCGCGCAGGTTAATTCCGTATCTCCTGATGATAATGACCTCAGAGAGGCAGCCAAGCTGACTCCAGCAACCGTCGTCTCCATCCCGCCGTACTCTATATTCGTTGGCAGAGGCGATTTGATGCATGCTGGAACTGGGGACGTGGGTTTCAAAGGAGACTCAAGCAGGCTCCGTTACCATATGTACGTCACGCCGGAGGACCATGACCTCCCTGATGGTATTCACCTGGAGCGCTCGTTCCGCCCTGAGTTCATAGCGAACATTGATGACGATGAAGACGTGGACAGCGACGGCGAGGAGGATGAGGAGGAGGGCGAGAAGGACGTTAATAGTGGTGGTGGAAGTGAAGCTGCAGCCACGCCGCAAGCCAATTCTATCGCCGAGAAGAGTACGGTCGCTCCGATTACCAAACTGTCTGCTCCGAATCAGCCTCAAGACGATGCCAACTACAGCAGCAGCAACAATAGCGAAGCCGAAGAGCCCGAACACGATAGTGACTAAGTAACCTCCTTTACAATTCCATAATGCCTAGCTGGACAATAAATGGAGTGCATACCACCGATTGCAGAAATGGTTGAATAATCCTCTCTGTCTCTTTCTCTGTCTCTCTCTCTGTCTCTCCCTCTGTCTCTGTCTGTCTCTGTCTCTGTCTCTCTCTATGTGTATACCCATCTCTCTATGTGTCTGTCCAATTCTTTATGTATGTGACCATCTATCTATGTGTGTGTCCATCTCTCTATACTTGTGTCCATCTCTCTTCCTTTGTCTCCCTCTTTCTCTTTCTCCCTTCGTCTCCGCCTCTTTGGCTGCATCTCCATTTCTCTCTATCTCTTTATGTAAACAAAGTAGCTCTAAATTTTTTTTTGGGGTTTCCTTCCCTATACTCTATATTGTACTCCCATTTTCTCTGCAGTATTGGTAACCGTGCATTGTTGTAGTACGAGAGCGACGCTTTTTCAGTGACTGGGGCTCGGCACTTATAAATACGTGTTTGTCTAAGAAGAGATGGACGTTGAAAAAGGTGGTTGTGAAGTGGGTTGGGTCCTGTGACCAGTGGGGAGCTGTGATCAGTGGCCACTGATCACAGGCCGGCAGGGGGTGTCGTACGACATCGTCATTGCTGTATAAAATTTGCAAAATTTGGTGGCAAATTTTGCGGGGTGGGAGCTGTGATCAGTAGACGCTGATAACAGTAGACACTGATCACAGGCCGGCAGGGGATTCAGGAGTAAGGAGCAGGATGGTTTTCGTACTTTAGGGATTCGCTGTGCTTTGGAGATTTAGGCGAGTAGGGGAGTAACTAGGATTAGGAGATTCGTGGGATGTGAAGATTACGTGGGATTAGGAGATTTGGTGGGATTAGGAGATTGGGTGGGATTCAGTTCACGAGAAACTGGATGATCTTGCAGAAATTGGACTAGTCCTTCCAAACGATAGTTGAAGACATTTGGAAACGTTCTTGGAGTGTGTTGGTCTCATAGAAACGGCAAGGGCAAAGATGAAGGACCTTAAGGAAAACATAGAAGAAGACACGTCATAACTGGAATAGACTGGTAAACGAGTGCATTACACAATTCTTAGACATTTGAATTATAAACGTTTAAAACCAACTACAATACTACAATCCAATCTTCCCTGCAACGTGTACCGTACACGTTGGACACTTAACTTCTTCTTTACGCCCCAGCATGATGGGTCTAACACGTTCACAGCAACAGACAGTCCGGTGAATGCCCTCAAAGCCGATAGAAACAACATTCTCCGATTAGTATTCATCGTGGTATTGGCGACATGCCTGCATATCAATCGGATGTTCCACAAGCGGTACCTCCTTGTTAGTCGTCGGTTGGGATTTGTCAATGTCCACAAAAAATGAGGGGTCTCCCATCACAACTTCATAGAAGTGACGCGGTGAGAAGAGTACGTTACGGAAGCTTTTCTCCCAAAGACCGATATCTGGAGGGCAAGGTGCGGATAGTATGGAGATATACCGCGCAGGCCTGCGCAAGCAAGTTTCTTTGGTATGACATGTTAATGGCCGTCGAGCGACAAGATTTCCAAAAGCTGTATGGGTGGCCAGCCATACTGGAACTAGATTATTTTTTGTTAAATTTTTAGAGGTTGATTCTGGTATGGGTGGCCACCCATACAGCTTTTGTTGATCTTGTCGCGCGACAAACACAGAAAGTAGTACACGTGTGGACCCAAATGCAATGCAAAGAGAAAGATTGCAAAGATTGCAGAGAAAGATGTAGAGATATAGAAAAATTGAGGGAAGGGGTCAAGAGGTTGAAAAAGCGCGATAGAAGTCCTACCCAAAGCCACCACAATCGTTGGCCCAATGGTTCGGCCACCAACAGCCCGTCCAGAAATAAATAAATAGAGCGAAAGCATACAGAAAGGTAAGAAAAGATATGCTCTTTGGAAGGGAAGTCAGATTTTCGGTCTGTGCGGGATAGCCGTGACAGGTATTATAGCCGACCACTAGATAGTGTTCTTCTTGATTATGCCAAATCATGCAATTGAAGATAGTAAATGAAAAGCCATAGATGTGAGAAGCAATATAGATCCAGTTTATCATCAAAACCATTAATTAATGTTCTCCATGCACGCAATTCCCTGAGTGACGGTACTAGAAAAGGAAGGAAATACCACTGTAGTGGTGTCTGATGTAGTGATGTCTGACAGTGTAATGTTCTCAGATTGCGTCCTAAGGAGCAGTGTTGACATTTGAGACTACGGGCGGGCGGGGATGTGAAGTCACGGGAGAAGGTATGGTATGGGATGGTAATGCCCGCTCCCACACCGTCCTTCAGTGTAGGGTCTTACCAAACCAGGAACGGGTGCCACGTCATTTGGTTCGTGGTGGCGCGACTTGGACACGAGGGTATTTCAAGCAGGGGGGCGAATGTTCAAAAACCACTTTCTGCGCTGAGAGCATTTCCGAATAAGTCGGTCCAGACCGAGGAGGACTCCTGTTTCTTACCAAGAAGTCAACTGTTGTCGCCGGTTGAGGAATGGAAGAGCCAACAATCGCTGGTGATGCCAAGGGGGGGCCTTCTCGTCCGAGATACGAAACCGAAGCTCTGCGGGAATTGAAGTCAACGTGTCGCAAGCATGGAATCAGGGAGCCCCGCACACGCCTCGGAGGTTTGCGTCTAGCGAGAGAATTGATGTGTAGTGACGGTTTGTTTTTGTCAAAAATGGAGCAAATGGCTGAGGCTCACAGGGCTCTCTTGAAAACTCTCACGGCAAGCATCCAAACTTTTCGCAACCAAACATTTCGGAATGGCCTTGGCGAGTCGTTTGCGAGAATGACCCCGCACGAACAAGACGTTTTAAAAAACCCGGAAGGTTACGTTTTGGCTCCTGCATCTCCTCGATCTACTGCAAGTTCAGGATCATTCGGGCCTGGTGGGGGCGTTCTGCACAGCAATAATGCCTCCCCGCACCAAAGCTCTAAGCGGCAATGGATGGAGGGCACCGATACCGGCAAGTATACGAGTCCCATAAAGGACTCCCGTGCGAGGAAGAGAGCCCGTTTCGAACAGACGCTTCGGGGATTTGGTTATGGCGGCATTGGAGCCAGTACGTATCGTCACGACGAGAACCTAATGGATGATAATGATATAGATGATTAAGAATTGGATGAAATACATGTAGTAGGTCTGTTGGGAATAAACACGATCTGGCTCATCATTTCACATACTATTGGTTGCACGGTCTAGTAACTAGTTATATCCTGGCGTTCGATATCCCTTGACCGGCAAGCAACTCTTCTTCCAATATCGTTCCGTCTACATATACTCTGTCCTTGAGTCTCGGGCCCGACTGCTTGCAGAAGGAGAGGTGATCAGCGCGGACCAACCGAGGAGCGCAGGAATTTTTCGGGTAGCCATGAACCTTCTTCTAGCAGCGCATCCCGACGGTGGATACTCTACGCCCGTTTTGGAAGAGGCCATTCAAGATGATCTTCCGCCGATATACGAGGTGTTCTGTGCGGAAGCGAAGACTTGCGCTTCCGTGATTTTGCCAACTCATGCAAGCAAATGAAGATAGTAAATGAAAAGCCATAGTTGTGAGAAAGTTGTGAGAAGTACTATAGATCCAGTTTATCTTCACAGCCATTACTAACGAAAAGTAGCCCGCATATCTGACACGCACACCCAAGAGCGTAACGTTTGCCTCTGCGCGCCGGAGGCAACTCTCCTTCGCCGTGTGCAGAAGACATATTTGCGACGCAATAAAGCTCGGTTCTGGAAATACGCGTATCACGCGATGGTAGTGCCCACAGCCTTCCCAGATCTCCCACCAGGTATATCTTCACATTACTACGGTAGCGCCTCTTACCAATACCTCTTCGGCAACCACCTCCTTCGATTGCAAGGCGTGGTAAAACTAGACGGGTTGTGTGCGATGCAGCAGGCAAGGAAATCTCTGCAAATACAACAAGAACCTTGCCTTACGCTACCACACCGTCAATCAAAGGGGTTGTGTTCTGTTATCAGTGGCCACTGATCACAGGCTGGCAGGCGGTGTCGGACGACATCGTCATTGCTGTATAAAATTTGCAAAATTTGTTTGCAATTTTTGAGGGTTGGGAGCTGTGATCAGTAGGGAGCTGTGATCAGTGGCCACTGATCACAGGCCGGCAGGGGGTGTCGTACGACATCGTCATTGCTGTATAAAATTTGCAAAATTTGGTGGCAAATTTTGCGGGGTGGGAGCTGTGATCAGTAGACGCTGATAACAGTAGACACTGATCACAGGCCGGCAGGGGATTCAGGAGTAAGGAGCAGGATGGTTTTCGTACTTTAGGGATTCGCTGTGCTTTGGAGATTTAGGCGAGTAGGGGAGTAACTAGGATTAGGAGATTCGTGGGATGTGAAGATTACGTGGGATTAGGAGATTTGGTGGGATTAGGAGATTGGGTGGGATTCAGTTCACGAGAAACTGGATGATCTTGCAGAAATTGGACTAGTCCTTCCAAACGATAGTTGAAGACATTTGGAAACGTTCTTGGAGTGTGTTGGTCTCATAGAAACGGCAAGGGCAAAGATGAAGGACCTTAAGGAAAACATAGAAGAAGACACGTCATAACTGGAATAGACTGGTAAACGAGTGCATTACACAATTCTTAGACATTTGAATTATAAACGTTTAAAACCAACTACAATACTACAATCCAATCTTCCCTGCAACGTGTACCGTACACGTTGGACACTTAACTTCTTCTTTACGCCCCAGCATGATGGGTCTAACACGTTCACAGCAACAGACAGTCCGGTGAATGCCCTCAAAGCCGATAGAAACAACATTCTCCGATTAGTATTCATCGTGGTATTGGCGACATGCCTGCATATCAATCGGATGTTCCACAAGCGGTACCTCCTTGTTAGTCGTCGGTTGGGATTTGTCAATGTCCACAAAAAATGAGGGGTCTCCCATCACAACTTCATAGAAGTGACGCGGTGAGAAGAGTACGTTACGGAAGCTTTTCTCCCAAAGACCGATATCTGGAGGGCAAGGTGCGAATAGTATGGAGATATACCGCGCAGGCCTGCGCAAGCAAGTTTCTTTGGTATGACATGTTAATGGCCGTCGAGCGACAAGATTTCCAAAAGCTGTATGGGTGGCCAGCCATACTGGAACTAGATTATTTTTTGTTAAATTTTTAGAGGTTGATTCTGGTATGGGTGGCCACCCATACAGCTTTTGTCGATCTTGTCGCGCGACAAACACAGAAAGTAGTACACGTGTGGACCCAAATGCAATGTCTTACCCGTGGTGAACCATGAGTAAGACATTGCATTATTGCCGCTGTCTCTACGTGTCCCTACCGGTCTTTATCTCAAGGAGGGACAAATTCTTCCCTCAGAACGGATGACCGAGGAATAAGGTCAGGCACGGTTTATGCAAGGCAAGTGTTACTAGACGTTGCATTAGTTATTACGAAAACTGCAGCACGTAAACAAACGACATTGCGCTCGCAACGATCTATATTACGTTCAGAGACTACAAATAAACAAGAGTGATCATCAGAATCCTCTCGCCTGTTGACAATGGTCTCTTGCGAAATAACATTGCCGTGTTCTACGATCACGTCCTAAGGACGCGGGGTTCGACGACGATCCCATCGACGGATTGAGTGACGACAAGGTTTGGAATTCATCAATAGAAACTAGGCAAAATTGTTGTTTACAAGCTATTCATGGACGAATGGTGAATTCTCACTGTAGTGTACGAATATCTCAGCGCCAGGGTTGATGAGTTCGTCGGCTTCTATGTAGATGAGATCTGTATCTGTTAGCTGGGAGGGGTGGTGAACAGGCTTCGACTGGGTAAACCTAGCATTCGCCTTGCGAATATTACCCATTGTCTCGTTACCAGCATTGCCGCGTGTGCTATTAAGAAATAAATCGTATTCTTCGTCGTCGGGATGATATCTCATGTCGTTGATGTATCCCCCAACGCAAAATGGGGCTGGAGTGACAAATATGGGCTTCTTTCCTTGCGACCTCCCCTTGATGTTGTTGAAGGCATGACCCTCGATCCTAATCTGGATGCTGTACTTGTTGAAGCGCTTGACCGTGACACTTAAGATACCTTCACCGTACGTCTTATGAACTTCCTTGCGGGATGCCAAGTCATGGTAAATGAGTGTACCGAAGAAAGAGCAGATTTTGTCGCCCTTCGCGAACATCCTGGAAGCAAAGACGCCCATTCCAGCTCTTTCATGTTTGATTGTCGACGGAGCAAGAAAAACACCTGCATTGGTGTAATCGGTGATCATAAGAGTCTTGGGGTCCGTTTGCTCCAGCAGTCCACGAAATTCGCGAGTCCACTTGTGCACTGGTTTGTTTAGGCAACGCACAAGGAACTCGGGATTATTCCATTCGGCAGTGATATGTGCTAACAAGTGTTGCGGAAGGATTTGATATTGAGGCATGCCTTTTGGAGATTTCCATCGAGGATCAGAAGGCAACCTGTAACTCTTGTCGTAGTCGTTGACGTACAAAGCGGCGTCCAGAAGTTCGGGGGAGAAAGGCACATCCGTTTTGCGTTCGGAAATGATGCGTGCAATGCATTTGAAAACATGCTTGGAGGCATGGCTGTAACAGATACTGTCCCTTTCGCATCCAACGAATTGGCGATGTTTGGGCAAGTCGAAGCAAGCTATAGCAGTTGCGAACGTTCCAGAAAACAGGTCCACGACGATGTCACCTGGCTGAGAAAATCGGCTGATGAGTTCTTTGAGCACACTTAGAGGTTTTTGCTCCGGCCGAAGGTCTGCCGTTCCAGAGTTGTCAGACTTCTGAACTCGAACGGATTCGGAAGGAAGAAGCCCCTTGCAGTTGTCAAGTACATTTCGATAAGCTGGATAGGTTGAAGCG